CCACATTCATATCCACATTCACATCCATATCCACATTCACATCAACATTCACATACATATCCACATTCACATCCACATTCACATCCATATCCACATTCACATCAACATTCACATACATATCCACATCCACATTCACATTCACATCCACATTCACATCCACACTCGTATTCACATTCACATTGACTCTTGCATCCTCGGTTACGGATCGCCAATAATTTAGCTGACGCCCTCCCATTCAAGAATCACATAAATCTACTTTCTTCTTTCTGGCTGTACCTCATCCTCCAGACTCATCGTACGTGATGTCTGTGAAGAGAGACCCGAGCCGAATCGAGAGGTTACGCTATCGCTCCAGCCGTGGACAAACCAAATGGCCAAACGGCCACACCACTTTTTGCCAACACGCGCAAAGTTCGACTCGGTTACGACTTTCGCCAGCAGCGCCACAAACCACGAGTGTCCACTTCGTCGTCGCCAGCACAACCACACTTTCCGTCGGCCTCTGGCCTCCACTTCACCTCCTCCTTCCGTCGGCTCTACTCGTCGACGCGCCCGTCTCGACGCCGTCGACCTCACCAACTGCTCCACACACACACACACCCTCCCCCCTGGCACACAAAGCCGTCTTCCGGCCCACCCTCCCGCCGTCGTCGCATCACCAACGCCTTCGTAGACAGGCACACTCACTCGGTCAACCGAACTGTACACCCTCAGACCGGCTGATCAATGCCGACTCACAGGCGTGACATGTATTCGTCTCCTTCAACTCTTGTTACTCGGCTCGTCAATTATTTCTCCACACACACATACACACACACACAAATCCACTCTCTTTTTCGTGTTTTTTGTTTTTTGTTTCTTGCTTTTTGCTCTCCTCCTCTCCCTCTTGCACCGCCTCGCACGATTACATTCACACTCACTCTCCGCATCCACATCTCCTCCTCGCCTTTGACGCAGCCCAGCACCTCGACATGTCGGCCGGCTCGTGCTCTGGTACCAGTCTCCTCCAACAGGCCACCATACTACTTGAGCCGCCCCATAGCGCTCTTCACTGGCGGGACTTAGAGACTTGGCAATATATATTCGGAAAACTGCCACATATAAAGAATCACCATTAATTTATTATCACACACACACACACACACACACACAAACAAACACACATACACACGTGCATAAAGCAACCTGGTTGCACAAACGTATACACCTTTGCGCGTCTAGTTTGATTGGGGGCAGTATGGAAATAGACGAGGGTAATAAGACCCACCGTGATACCGAGCCAGGTCTGTATCTGGTTTCAAGTCGAGCCGTTCTCGGAGTACGCGAAGACGAGAAGAAATAAAATTTGCAAACATTTTCTCAGCTTAAGTGTCAGCCATTTTGTAGAGATGAGACCTGCACGACCCTGAAGAGATGGGTCCATCGAGGCGACAGCCCACTTACGTACACATGTGCGCAATCCATCCATACCTCCCGTCCTGAAGGCAGCTGCTGCACACACACACACACACAAACACACACACACACATGCATGCAGACACACATGTACAGGACAACAGCATCGTCGACGGTGGCATAAGCGGTCAAGAATGGAGAATACCGCCAACGAGTATCAAGTGAGTCTTGACAAAACAGTATTTTGACTTTTGTTTCGACTCGCTTCGGCCTCTTTGTCCGCTCTACTCGTCGTCATAGTTACCAACAATTGAGATAGGGTTGGTTGCTGATGTTGCCTTGCGTTGTCTCTTGGCCGACAACATCACAAGCCAGTCCCACGGCATGCAGTCTTCTCTCGAGTGGCCACCTTCTTTGATCAACGCTGAAGGTGGTTGGCTGGATTGGGAAAAAGAGAGTTTTCTTCATTATGGTTCAAGATTTTTTGAGATCAGTAGCCTCATTTGGGTCGGTTCGGCCTCGGGTTCGAGTCCTGTCAACGCGACGGATAAGGCAAATGGTCTATGCCACGTCGGGAGGCGGGTAAACTGACCTCAACGACTCGGTGGATGACGACTTTTGACTGAATTCCCATTCGCCCCGACAACCATTGCCGAGTCCGTTCATGCAAAAGTGATAACGCGGAGCGGAAGCTTTGTTTGGCTCAGCACCAGCCAGACGAAAATGCCGGTCCGAATCCCAGAGGGCCTGGAGGCTCGGATAAAGAACTGGCCTTTTGGACACGTGGCAGTTCCGCCTCGGCGGTTCAGCCTCGTGACCTCGGACACTGACAAGCCCCAGTTGACGGCCAAGCCAGACTGAGACGTTTCGACTGTGTGCAGACTCTACACACATTTAAGGGCTCGAAGGAGAAGTATTAATTACTAATGCTAATAACTATTCTATTAATCAGCAATTTGATATGGCATCCGCGATCAGTCACTTAATTAAGCAATTGGTGGATAATTAGGCGAATTTATTAATAATGATGAAGAAACTAGCTAACTAGTTAGCAAGCAATTTGACATGACACATGCAGTCAGTTACTCAATGTATTTAATGGGTGAATCATTCAATTAATGGATTTATTAATTATACGGATGCTAATAACTAAATGTCTAATAAGTAAGTAAAAAATAAAATAAATATAATAGTACCAACTAATTAATTAATAAGTAATTTGACATTAAATCTACAGTTAGACAATTAAGTTATTAATTGATCAACTGATCAATTAATATATA